AGCTACATGGCTACTGTAAGCAGACGACGACTTGTCATGCAGAACCAATAGCTGTGTATTACATACAATCGATCCATGGGTACATTTGTCCTGAAGAAACGGATTAGCAAGGATACCGTGGAGAAAATTAAAACGAACTGAGGCGTATTTCGAACTGACGGCATAAGATGTCTAAAGAAAGGTCACCTTTCTTTAAAGGCAATCAGGACTCAAGTCTTCCATTCCCCATTTACAAAAAGTGATTTCATAATTTGTATTGGGAATTGGGAATCGAATCCAAAACCATAAAAGACAAAAACCAAAGTGAAGCCCATTTCTTAGGCGGCTTAATTAATACGAAGACTGTGCTAAGAATACGTCATTCGGATAAATTTCTATTAAAGTTTTCATCGTTGGTGGTCCTTCTGTTTGTATTATTTGCTACTTGCGAATTATGTGATCAAACTCTTTATTAATGGTTATCCAATAACATGAAAGCCACTTGACGTCTCACCATACTGTGTACTTAATTCGTTATCTATCCGTATTGTTCATTTCACTTGTTCCGCCTCGTAGGAACTGTTGATTAAAATTTACGAGTCTAATTACAATGCAAAGCAGTTATTCCCTTGGCGTGTACTCCGAATACATTAATTTATATGCGATACTTGGTTTTGATATCGAATATTTACGGCATCACCAATAGTACTTATTATTAATTTAGTACCGTCTACGGCATATTATACGTCATTACTAAAGCAAGATCTTATAAGCGGTTTCACAAATTCTATAGCTTTAAGTTTCTAGCTTTTCTGTTTGAATATCCCAAGAATCATACTGCTGTTATGTTGTTTGTGGTTTTACGATAGTGTGATTTTCGCCACGGAAACTGAATCTACCTTTTCTATTTGTCTCTGTCTGATATTTTGATCTGTCATTTCCAAATGATCTTAGTTTTATCGCGAAATTTTAGATGATCCTCTTATGGACATCCGACTGCAGAAGACGGGGTGGCCGTATAAGCACTATCCACATTCGGTTCATAAGCGAACATTCGTAACGGGCAATCAAAACCCTTTTATGACTCCCAAGACGGTCTCCACCACTCTTCTCTTTCTTCAATCGACATTATTCACGATGGTCGCGCTACTCTTGCCTTTAATCACTTAGTCACCTAGGATCCTATAATACATCCATAATACGTAAGGAGCTTATGAGCATTAAAGTAAGGTTCCTGAAGGCAGTTATATCACCTTTACCGCAACAGCCGACATGCGCCGCCGCTCGTGGCAGTGACCCTGCGTGCGTTCTGTGCGGGTGCACACTGCACTAAGGCACACGAAGGTCTTTACTTCTGCGAGGTTGGGGCTCACCTTTTCTTAAAGACATTGGACGATTTGAACATATCAGCAACGCAAAAATAATCCGAAAACTAACAGAAATTGAGATATTCAATAAAAATCAACACTCCACTAAAAGGCACACGAAGATCTTTACTTCTGCAAGGTCCAGGCGGTCCTTTTCGTCTACTAGACATTGGACGATTTTTTTTTTCATTTATTTATTTCCACACACATTATCACTATCTTTACAGGTACTTTGATTTGGACGAATAACTCAAGAAGGTACGGTAGAACTGACAGAATTGAGATATTACATATTAATCTAGAAATTCAGTTGATTTTTCACATATTGATCCGACTGTGCAGATGGTATGGAATATGCTGAACAGAAATCGGTGGCAGATCATCCGCTCCATATTTATCGTCGAAGCTGTCCATCAACTTGTATACGTACAACCATGTTTTTGAACCTTGAAATATTCGGCTGGTCACGGAAACTAAAATAACATTTCTCTCAAGTTCATTAAAAAGACTAATTAGATAGAAACTATGGTAACTTTTCCGGGTTTATATTCTTAGTATATCCTTTTACCGCATTGAATTTGTGTGGCATTACTTTGACAGCAGTAAGCTGTTTTACAAAGAATTAGGGACAATATGGGTTACTAATTACCACCACTAGTATTTTTAATCTCACTTACGTCAACAACTCTTGAAGCCTGTGCCGACTTTCAATTCAAGGACAAGTTGCATCATCTGCGCCCATCGCGTGTGTTCCGAACTGCTGCACAATGCACTTAGATACGGGCTTCGGCCGAATCATTTGATCCTTATCTCCTCAGACATAAAGACCATTAACTCAGGTGATAGACACAATCGTCTGAACTAATAAGTTAAGTATAAAAACAATTTCAAAAAGCAAGTAGCTGCATCGGACCGTTACTACCATTTATCCAGAATTACAGTTTTCGCTAAAACGTTAACAGTTGCAAGTTGAAGACTTATGTGTTACAGTGATAATATTTCGTTTAATTATAACTGTATCGTAAAGGAACAAGTCTTATGAAGAGAAAGCTATCTAATGATGACGATGAACTAACTGATCCTTTTTTAAGCTGACTTAATTCTGCACGCAACATACCTATTTAATTAATTCGATATAAGTTTTTCGTGCCAACCGCAATAATCGTTCCTTGATCTGACGTTTATTGATGGACTTATCAATAATACATTTACTTCATGTGTTAGCTATTAATTAGTATTAATTGATAATCCATCTCCGAAAATGTCTTTATATGTAGCTTATTTGGAAGCAGAAGGCTTGTAAATCTTGTCACAGGAGAGGTCAGGCCATTACGATATGTCTAATCTATGTGAAATAGCCTTAATCAAGCGATTTAGGTTCTTTAATGAATAACAACAAGTAAGTACCTAACTAACCATTCTACATAATTTAATTAAGAGTCTAATAAATCCTGATTAAGGTCTGGCTTAAGATTTATTTTATGCACAAATCAGTACATAACTCAGATGCTTAGCGATTAATTTTATGCGAAGTGGTTTGTGTTTTCAATTTTGTTTGCATTCAGAAGGAATATTTGTGTGTAGCAAGTAATAGTATATTGGAAATAGATATTTGGTCCGATTCCAAAATCTTGATGTATTTGTATCAATCTTCATTGCCGTCAATGAACGCCCCGGCTTCGAGCTGATATTTGGCAAATACTGGTGATATATCTAAGGCGAGGCCAGTGCCCTGCAATAGAAAAAATCCGAGTGTCGAGTACACTGATCTTTTTTATAATTAATCTCCGAACCAATACATTCGTAAAGTAAAATAAAATAACATTTGTAATTGGTTCTTCAATAAAATAGAATTTATTACTAGTTTCCGTTAGATCCAGCCCAAAGTCCTTATTGAAAATATGCTGTGCGTACATTATTAAGTCATGTTTAGTAATAACTTTAATTGAAAACCTGTTATTTGCAAAGCCATAATACTCGTAAAATGACTACCTAGTATTGCTGTCATTTGAAAAATGTAAGAAACAGAAATAAGGATTCTCTTCCGTAAAAAAGGTCCCGCAGTTAATGTAACTCTCTTTGGAAACATAAAACTGCTGGCGTATATCTTAGCTTTAAATAAATATTACATAATTAACTTAATGTGTTTCGTTTAATTCAATCTAATCCGTCGCGACATCGCGTCGTCAAGTGTGATTGACGCCTATGAACGGCAGACGACAGTTGCCTTCCTAAAATAACTTGAATTGGGTTCGAGGCCCATTTCTTTAATCGAGATATTAAAAAGTTATTGTCGCATTATTTTTATGACAACACAAGCTTGAAGATTAATGCTACGATTCGATTGTTCGAATTCAGAGATAGTTTCGCTGTCGATTAAATACATTGTTGCGTAAAACCTCTCGGGTCGCAATTTCGCAAACCTAGCTTCTAGGAGAAATGAATAATGACTCCGTGCCTCATTAAACCTTCAATGCTGCTACTGCGATTTGTATTTTCCATTTTCCTTGCAAATGATCCATGCAACTGTTCATCTGGGTGCGAATTGTTTAAACCCTTTTCAAATTGCATTTCCTACAGCGCCGCGAGCTTCGACGTGAAAACTTCATAATGCTGATGCAAAAAATATTTCACTCTGCATTGCGAATGTTTACTTTCAATGAATGTGTTTGAAACAAACTCAGTAGCTATGTAATTCTCATTTCTGTCGCGTGTTGCATTGATATAGATGCCATTTATTTGCAATGTTGTAATTTAGCTTAAAATTTTGAAAATCATATAATATTCAAATTATTTTCTGTAAAAAGAAGCGTAACATAAACAGACAAAGAGTTGTGTACGGTGTAATTATGTTTACTAATTAATATGAGTTACGCACGATGATCACCGTGATCAGAAAACATGCTTTGTTTTCGGTCCGTTAGTTAAAATGGTGTTTTTTCTGAGAAAAGCTTATCAATTGACTTTGAAATGCGCTGGTTGTACATTATAAAAATTTCACAAGATAGGTACTTTGAACATTTGTTTCTATAAAACTGTAATTTTAAATTTCGAAAATCTTGATTATAAAAAACTTAGCAAAAGACTCTAGAAGCAAACTTACTAAAATTTAAGCTGTGCAATACATTTGCTTCCTTAGAAGTTAGTCAAGTAGTTGCAGTTAATGTTTGTTTGTACCTACTAGTCTGTGTCGTTATTGTTTGTAGTAAGGTCATGTGAGAATCATGCATTTTAATAACAAATATATTATTTTACAATACTTGTCAGTTGTCACAGTGATTCACTTTCATCGCTACTGTGTCAATATTAGTCACCAGCATCTAATACTTCACATCCCCATATTCCCCATGTTAGTTTGTGTCGCTAATAAGTTAATTTTTGCATGATATGAAGTATGTTTTTAGTATAATCAATCCTCATATCATTGGTAGGAGTATATTTTATAATCTCGATAACTTTCTTCTATTCTCTAAAATTATAAGTCTTTATGGATATATCGTAATGTCCTGTAAAACTCTGCCATCACAAAAAATAGAAAAGAAAGAAATACTTATCTCTGAATGATTTGGTTACAAGTGCCCATTTCTTTTGACGCCATGTTGTATCTTGTATGAACATTGCCATGCCCTCAACCTTAGGACGTGTGGTTTCCAGGCATGCATCGACGACAACCTGGACATGGTGGAGTTCCTGGTGACCCACGGGGCCGACGTGAACCGCGGCGACAACGAGGGCTGGACTCCTCTGCATGCCACAGCGTCTTGCGGCTTCCTTAGCATAGCGAGGTGAGCAAGCTTTGATTAATATTGAAGACTTCTGTTCCTGCAGACCACAGACTTTTATCGGCCGACACTTTAGTCGGGTAACAACCCCGATTTAAGTCATCAGAGTCAGCAGATTGCTCGTATTTATAAATTAGAAACCGAGCAAACTATTGGCCGATAAAAAAATCTGTGGTCTGTGCGTGGACTATAACCTTGGGTTGCACTATCATACTTTAACTAACACTCCAAGTCTGTAAAATTCCATACAAAAACACCAATTAAAGTTATATTTACGGTTAAAGTAAAGGTGATGCTACTGAGACTAAATCAAAAAACATATGAGCATCACGCAACCAAGCGCAAACGAATAGGCGGGGACTGTGCCGTGGTTAATAAATGAAATAAAAATTGTTATTATAGAATAATAACAAATAAATCAATAACTTAAAGAAATAAAGTCCGTTGAACAATGAAGTATAAAGGACAGTGGTAAATAATGCATTGTTTTTTTTTTGTAAATCAGCTGTTTTTGTATGATGTTTGTATGAGGTTTCATCAAATTTCCTATATGTATTGTTCTCGTGAATTTTGCCAGCTTTTCACCCCTCATTCACTCGCACTTATGCTAAGCGGAAAAACGCGAACGCACAGTTTTGTATAACTCACTGTTTTCTCGATATAAGACATGATATCAGTTTTGTAACCGATAGTATGAGTTCATTGACTATTGCATTATTATGTTTAGTTATTCATGCCCATATTCAGTTACTTCATAAGAGTCATAGACTATTCATTGATGCTCTTCTCATTTAATAACGTAAACAACACGTACGTTCATATCATTTAATTTTCGTTATGTGGATTATTTGGATGAAAAAATAAGCGTTGTTTACTGCTTGTGTTTCATCAATGACGTTATACAAGTACTGATTCTTCGATGTATGTAATTTGTACGATTATTTCCTATTACATTATGAGTAATATTACACGATATGTCCCACATAAGCGTGACAGTCAGTATTATTGTAAACACGCTCTGAGTCAGTCTGACCCAGAAGCCGCAGGGAGTTCCTGTCATACTAAGTTAGCTTTTACACGCGAATCCGTCCCTTTGATATACTGTGGACTTTACAACCGCGATCACGTGATAAATGGATTTAACTGAATTGTGGTGATTTTGTCGGACTGTTTTGCTTCGATCTTTGATAAAGCTATTTAATTAAGATAGCACCAGTCCTAAGACAAAATTATGTATGTAAACCCCTTTGCTTGAATTTGTGTCTGTCTTGTTGGTTGTCCTAATGAAATAAATAAATAAATACTTGACCCAAATTCGGATTCGGACTCGGATCAGGCTTTACAAGTAAATAATTGAAATCTTTAGACGAACGCACATAAAAAGTACCTACTGGCTTGATTTAGAAACCTTAGTGACACTAAGACTGGGTTGCACCATCTTACTTTAATTTTAACAAACGTCAAATGAAAATCAAAAAACACCGGATAACGTCATAGTTACGGTCAAAGTTAGCTGGTTCAAATCAGCCTATGTCACACATAAATCTGTCCGTTTTGAAACCATTTCGCATGCGCTCTAGATAATTTTAACATAATATCGACTAATGTGAAGTAAAGAATGACGAATGTATTTTTTATGAGTATGTTTAACAAAGATATACATTTTCGGGCTATTCTTATTATGCTGACTAATCAAATCAAATAAATGTAACGATTTCAATTACATACTGACTCTCACTATGTATTTAAGATAAAATCGTATCTATTCTTCTTTCAGAAGTGCATTGTTAATAGATATCTCTTTATCAATGTATTCTCAGTATCTTATACTTGACGTAATTTGTTGGAACACCAGAATCTATATGACGATTGTCAGATTTCTTTGATTACTTGTGCAATGAACGCTATGCGAATGTTTTGATAATTGGTATGTCAAGATTTTTATTAAATTAAGCGGAGTGCACATGTATTTCATTGCTTTCGATACATTCGATCTACTTTGCTCGCAGTCATATGATAATGCACATCATTGTCTCTATTGAAATGTCCAGCGGACTCGTGCGCAATAAAATTGATTCGGTTTGCTCCAACAGTTCAATCTACTTGACATTTCCTTCTCGAATACATAATATATTCCTTCTGTCTGAACGCACCGTCTAGGGTCAGACTGGCTTTAGGAGAAATCATTAGAGTTTATAACTTAGATTATAGGCTAGGTAATGTTTTAACGTAGAGTTATCTGCAGTTGTGCATTTATTGATAAATCGAAGTGAAACAGTGACTGGGATGAACTAAATGATTTCCCAGAAAGGTGTACGTGGAACATAAACTTAGAAGCAAGCACACCTCATTTTATTACAAAACTGGCGAAGTATATTTATTTACTCGTTTTAACGTGAACTTATGTATGTATTCCCACATAACTGGATTAAGTCAAATCCTTATCCTGCAATAAGTAGTGTGAACTTTAATGTATGAAATTAATATAATTGGCGCCCGAAATCCGACGCTCTTTCAACTTAGATTAGTAGAACCTGTGATCGTTTGAATTTTAAGCGTTACACTTACACCATCCACAGGAATCACTTGAATCTACGCTTGGGTTCGAATCAAAGTTTGAAGGACGTTTCGAGGCTAAGGGCCCTCGAAGGGACGGCATCCTGTTACACTGAACCGAGCACTTGACCGGTCACGCACAATTCACACTTCAGATCGGTTCAACCATTCCCTTTGACTGGCACATTAACGAGAGACCCTTTAAAATTAATCTGATTCCCCAAATTACAACTTATAAAAACCTTTCCGTACATATCATCGCTATGTCGTACCAAAAGTATATTGATTTTAATGTTGCTCCTTTAGTAGAAGTAATTCAATTTGAGGACAATAATCTTTTATTGAAATATCTCAGTCGCTAGCTTATTAGCTAGCCCAAAAATACCAATTTTATACCCTCAGGTGCTGATGAGTTAGGAGAGATGAATATAAATTAGTTGGATATTCTTATGAAGAGTAGCCTGCACTTTTTCATTTGATGAGAGTATTATATGCAATCATGCTTTGAAGAAAGCTTATAAAGGGTCTGTTCACGTATACAAATAACTTTAAGTCAAAGAAATATACTTACATAAATCTTTCCCATTAAAACTCGAGATTTTGTGATTTAACTTTACTACATACTGTATGTTTTTATTTGCTTTCAAATTATTTTTGCATGAATATAGTGTCTGCATGAACGTTAGTAGTACAGTAACACATCAGTTATTAAGTAAAATTGCACCTATTACAGGAAGAGTCTTTTATTGAGCGTGTTTGTGAATGGAAATAAACCTATAGATGGAGGAATTTGAATATAAATCATTAGTATCAACGTAGACGTTCATGCCTGCGTACATCAATAATGGTTTTAATTTCTTTCACCGTTATTTCTTGATACAAATTACACACAAGTAGACTAGGTATTTCGTATATTAGTTAAATGGTTCAACTGTATGCAACTACGCCGTTAGAGCAGATCCGACCAAATGGTCTGATCTACTAGTATATCATTATGCGACCAGGATTAGGAATTCCCTAAAATGTAATAAGTATCCTATTGCCATTTGATTAAAAAGCAATTTACTTTGAATTTCAGGTACTTACTGGAGAACGGCGCAGATGTAGGCGCGGTGAACTATGACGGCGAGCTGCCGGTCGACATCGCCGAGAGCGACGCCATGGAGGAGATGCTCCAGAAGGCGATCGACGAGAAAGGTGAGCTCTATGCAGTTGTGATAAGGTTCATTTGAGAGCGGCGCAGACTTATGCGCGGTAAACGGCGGGAGAAGATGCTCCAGAATGCGATTTACTAGAAAGGTGAGATCTTATGTGGTTGTGATAGGGGCGATTTTATTTCATGATTCAAAGTCTATGGCGATACACCACTGCTTAAAGCTGTGTCTGTCAACTGTCATCGACTGCAGAGAAGTCGATTCTTAACTTCGAATTTCTTCTATTTGAACGAAGCCGTGGATTACTTCAGAAGGCGATTGACAAGAAAAGTTTTAAAAGCTAGGTTTATTATTATGATAGCACATCTCTGTTAATCGACCTATGGAAATCGATAATTTTCAGTTATGCTTCAGTAAATTTTTTAATATTATATTGGAAAGTTAAATTTCGAGAGAGCTCTTTTATATTATAAACTGCGTTGAACCAGAAAGGTTAAAATTATGACATCATGATTCCTCTCTTTTTCTCAAAACGGGCATTGGATGTTACCTTGTGAATATATTTATGATATCATCAGAAGTACATAACTACATGCAATCTGATGCGTTACACAAGAGTGCCATTGATTGTACTAAGGAAGAAACTATATGCCATATGCGCCTTACAATACAATGTTTTAAAGTTTATTTATAACGAAGCGTAAAACAGAATTTGTAACCAGAATGCTACTTTGAAATCAACATAAATCTGGACATGACATATTAAACGCAAGGTTCGCAATCCGCATTGTGTGGTGTTTTAATGTAAGTCTAATGATGTACATCTTCTGAATCTTTAGGCCGCTTGTACACACTAAGAAAAGTCGCCGGGTCTATGCAAGTATTCGTGTCGTTTCTTCACACGAACCTTGTACGTCGTACGTTGCTTCGACGCTAACCAAGAAATAATTCTTGTCTGCGCTAGATTCGATTCGCGACAGACGTGCAGTGTGTGACAAATTTTCGTAGCTAAGTCTGACGAAATTATTGTCTTGTCTGCGGCAGACACGGTAAAGTTTCTGAGCGTGTAAAAGCGGCCTTACACCGAACTGTTTTTTATTAATTGCCCTTTGTTTCAAGGGGTCGACTGCGAGAAGTCCCGCAACGCCGAAGTGGACACACTGATGAGTGACGCCAAGAACTGGGCCGCGAACGGCTACGTCGAGGTGCGGGACCCCAAGACTGGCGGCACGCCGCTCCACGTTGCCGCTGCTAAGGGATACATTGATGTAAGCCATCAGCAGGACATTTAAGGCTTCCACAGACCAAACGCGGGTCAGAAGCAGTGCGGGTCAGTTGCGGCGCGGCTGAGGCACACTGAAAGCAGCGCAGTTTCAAAGCAGTTGCAACGCGGGCGGTTGTCAAAAATTTAAATATTCGAAAACCGCTTTCAACGCGCTGCTACTACCCTGCGTCCGGTGTGTCATGCTAATATGGCCGCCATAGTAATACAACAGCGCGGGACCGCGCTCGCGCCGCTTCTGTCCCGCACTCGCGCCGCCTCGTTTGTCGCGGTTGGAGCGCGGGCCCGCGTTCAAAGAGTTTCTTGTATTACAACTAGCGCCGGCCCGCATTCAAACTGCGCTGCTACTGCCCTGCGTTTGGTCTGACCAAGCCTTTAGTATTCACTGCAGAATAGAGATTGCAAACTGGGCCCGGTACCCTCTTAGGTTAAGCCCGAGCCCGCCGCGGTGGTGGAATTGCGGTTTTATTTCAAAACTCACAGGATCGTTTATTTGCGCGGTTACGCAGCCGCCGACAAGACGGTCGCCCGCCAATGAGGGCTATCGTTTTAGCGCTCACCAGTTAGCGCCACTGTAGAGTAAGGTCCTATCACTTGCTAGTAGCGAAGACAGTGGCGCCAACTTGTGAGCGCTAAAGTGGTAGGAGGACTATCGTATTTGCACTCATCAAGATGGCGCCACTGTAGAGTAAGGTCTTGTCAATCGCCAGGGGTGCCAACTGTTAAGTAAAAAAAGGATAGCCCTCATTGATCGCAGAGCGTGCGGGCGCAAACCGTAGAGGCTGCGGTTACCGCGGCCCGCGCGATGACGAATATAACCAGTTTGCAATCTCTACTGCAGAACCAAGACTGTTCAATTCACTATAGCCCTTTCAGACCCGGCTTAAATAAGCGTGCGCATTGACTTAAAATAAAAATTTGCTTGGCAAAATTTTGTTTCTCGGAACGAAATCGGTACGCGGCGATCGTGCGTATTATGATACTTTTAATAAAAAATATAGGACCCTCTTGCGGGCAGTTGGTCGCCGGATAGCGATTGTGAAAGTTGTCAGAATTTTTCGGCGCGAACTCCCGGAGAGGTACGTAAACAAAAAAATAGTATTTTGCTAGTATTTTTGTTAATATGTTATTAATTATAAAGTAAACATTGTATTCTAATGAATAAATGAAAAACCATTAAAATAATTTATAGTATTGCTTACTTAAAACTAACTTAAATGTAATACGCACTATCGTAGCAGTTCGGTTTAAATTCATTTTTAAAGGGATAAAACGGCACGCTCGTGCGTATTGTTTTTTTGGATATTTAATTAAAATAATAGTCATTTTTTAATTTAACTCTTTAATGCAGCAGTTTAATTATCAGAAAACATTATCTTATGCTTATTAGGTGATGAAAATGACTCAGACATAAAAAAAAATCCATACGAAAGGTACCTTCTGCACCATTTAGAACAAAAGAAGGAAGTAGTATGAAATGAAGTTATTTTATGCCAGCAATCCATTGATTTGGCTAGATCTGAGCCTGCAGAGCCATCAGGGAGTACCAGTAGTGCTCAAACCTCCGTAAAAATAACTTTACCATGTATTACGCCAATTGAAGAGAGAAAAGGGCTAGGATATGGAGGCAAAGGGCATATCTGTAAAATAAATGAAAGATATTGATAGATAATCAATATATTCGACTGTACAGACTCCAATGAAGTACTTTGGAAACTTCCTTGGCCATAATTTTATAGACTAGGAGCCAAATGCTTCAATAACTACTACTTGAGAAAAACTGGGCGAGCCGTTAATACCTCCGTTGATGAAATGTGTGGTATGCTTTCATACATGGATTTTTTTCTTTCCCCAATTGTATCTGTTCTGGTGACTAAATATACGATAAGTAGTCATAGGTGACATTCTGAAGACGTTAGGATTCGCAACTTTGCAAAGCGTATTGAATTTTGTTCCCTATGATCATCCTACTTCTCTAGAGGACATACCTTTTGTGGACAGTACAGCCTTCAAAGTCTTGCAAGCTTGTCAGAAAATGGATAGAGTGTCTAATAGTTACTAAATAGATGAGTAACTGTTATATAATGAGTATATGTTACTGACAGATGCAGGTTGTAAGAAATGAACCTTGCTCTGTTTGGCTTTTAACAGCTGGAAGACTGATGCTTGATTTCAGTATTTATTTGGATGCAAGTACAGCTTTTGCTGAGCAAGTGCAGGGTATTGGTGCACTAGTAATTATGTATACATAAGCGGTTTCTCCACACAGATTTATATACATCGACACTTATTTCACCAGCGTCCGTCATGTTTTTAGAAATTTGACAGTAATTGCCTTTATATTATGGAACTAGCACCATTATCATGAATGGTATTATTCAACGAAAAACGGTAAATTTCATGTCTGACCATAAGATGAAAAGAGGAGAGTCAGAATAATTCGTGTTTGATGACTTGGGTCTCTTAAAATGGATATACAACACATTTGTTATGACAATCTCCAATTGTTTCACCAGGAGCTCATAACACTTCAATGGTCATGAGTTGGAATGGTTTTATTCAAGTAAAAGCTGATTATTATTATTTTTTAACAATAATATCCAAAAAAGTGAGTCTTTTCTTAAGGATTTCCTCTAATTTATTAATTATGCACGAGCGTGCGTATAGTGCACTTAGTCCTAACACGCACGATAGTGCGGGTAATTTTCTGAAAAATTGGAAAGTCGGAAAATTTTTATATTATTTTTCTTGTCTTCCTTATGGACCAAATGTTACATAAAATCCGAAAAAACATAAATTTTGTGGAAAAAAATTTTCAGGTCTGAAAGGGATAGGCAAATTGATAGTTTAGACTACACTTATATTGGCAAGACGGATAGGGGACTCCTGCCTGATTGATAAATCGCGTTTTACGACAAAAGTCGGGGTGGTCCTGTAAAGCTAGGTTTACACCAATAAAACTTGCAGAAGTTGACTTCCACTATCTGTCACCACTGTAAATCATGCAGAAGTTGGCTTGCCACCGTGGTAAACAGTTTGCGGTAATCAACTTCTGCAATATTAATGAGGGTTTTCGCGTATGAAAAATCCGTCAGATGGCAATACGTAGACGCAAGGTCCAAATGCTGCATGATTGGTTATTTTTGACATGACATTGACAGATATGTCAAAATCCACCAATCACGCAGCAGTCAGACCCCACATCCACGTCCCGCCATCTAGCGGATCTTTCATAAGCGAAAACCCTCATTGCTAGTAAACCTCGCTTTAAACTCCGGTCGGCCGTTTGGTGTAGTGGTTCAGTTGAAATGATGAATTTTAATATATGTGACGGGTCTGGGTGTTACTACATATGTATAATATGTATGTATTTTGTAAAAAAAAAGTATGTAACTTACTTTGGGGCTAGATGATGGCGCTGTGTGAGATTGTCAAAAAAAAACTGTCTGAATCTCGGGGCATTGACGTAACAATGACAGATATTTATTATACTACACGTCAGATCTGCCAACTTCTACCATCTGTATTATTCTGTTGAATGAGGATTCAGTTTTCTAACACAGTGGCACTAATGTCAAAAGTACTAGTTGACTTATAAAGAACCCTTCTCAACAATTTTATTTTGTTTATCCGTGAAGATTTTTTATAGGACTGTGGTAGTCAGACCTGCAGGTCTCCAGATATCTCAAAGGCTCTAGAGCAATTCTAAGTATGCCATAAGTAAAAGCCTAATTAGAGTCATCAAACGTCTCAGCCATTAATTTAGAGCCACTAGAATTACAAAATATGAGTTGTTTTTTGTGTGTAAGCTGAGGACACGCGTCTCCAGCTGACACTTCTGTATCTTCGTAAATGTTTATGCTACGATAATGTATTATACCTCAAAAATTACAGTCGAATCCAATAAAGGTTCGGTCAAACCAACGCGATCACACGCGATCAGCCGGCGTGCAGCGATGGCGATCAATGCACTTAAGTAGGCTCTCCAATTTTCAAGACTTTAGCTCAAATACTGTCAAAAAACTATTATGCGAGCTGGAGTACCGTGTTTTTCATTTTTTATTTTTTATGACGCAACGCAGCGCAACGGACTAATGGGGCCTCACCCTTATTAAGCTCAAAAGGAATAAGGGATATGTTTCTTATTTTAGGTAGCAAAAACTCTCCTGGAAGAATGCAACGCCGAGCCTGACTGCGTTGATTACGAAGGCTGGACGCCATTGCACGCGGCCGCGTTGTGGGGACAGAAGGAGGCGGCCGCGCTGCTTCTGAAAAGTGGCGCCGATCCGCATGTCAATAACTACTCGGTGAGTTGAAGCACAGAATAACCTCTAGTCTCAGTAGTACGGTTGTTTTGTCCGGTCCCGGACTACTAATACTAATAAAGTCTCAAAAGTACGGTTATGATGTCCAACCGAACTAATGAGACTTTATTAGCATCAGTAGTTCGGTTAAGGATGTTAAAAACAAAAATAACACAAAAAGTATTAGGAAACGAAATTTGTTCTTTTAATAGTAAAAAAAGAATTTGTAACTAAAGTAAAAGCTGTTTCTCCTAGCGAAAAATCTTATTTCTATGGTTTCTTCTACCACTAACAAAACTACAGATAAAGTCTCATTAGTTCGGTTAGACGTCATAACCGTACTAATGAGACTTTATTAGTATCAGTAGTCCGGGACCGGACAAAACAACCTTACTACTGAGACTAGAGGGAATAATAATATGTACAAGTCGGCGTCAAATAGTTAGTGACACCCTAAGTAGCAAAAAATTTCGCAACATGTCGTATAAGGTTGGTGTTGTCAGCTTTTTGGCCACTTTGGGTGTCACGAACTATTTGACGCTGATTATATTCATTTATTTAAACTTTTGCACATACATACCTAGTCTGGTCATAAGTTCTGTCACATGATTATAACTTTTGAATTTTGAATGAAGGTCTCAAAAATATTTATTAAATTAGAATTGAGAATATTTAACGAAATTAAAAATGTGCACTGTTTTGAATTTTATTTGTTTTTAAATATGTAGTGGACGCATAAAGAAGACCGAACAGCAGTTGTCACGCTGCATTGGTGCGGTTACGCGCCAAAGCAGATTTTCGATGTGCTGAAAAAATTGAATTAAATATCAGTTTTACGTTTATCGTTTCATCAAACGATATAATGAAGTTTTAAGTGTAGAAGACACAAAACAAAAGTAATTGTCCTTGCACGGTTAGGACTCCGGCAGCGTTAAAAGCTGCGAAGGTGCGAACTCATAAAAATCCCATGCGTTAGCAGACTTTGCCTGCCCTGGAGGTAGGTTTAAGCACAACCAGGGTGAAATTGGTATTTATGAAGACTCAAGGCTTTAAACTTTTTGAATAATAATCAAAAATCACTTGGATGCGCGTTTAAAAGACCTGAGATTGAAGAAATCCAACGTTTTGTTTAATCGGTACGCGGGAAAAAAGTACCTTGAAAAAATTTTTTAGAATGTTTTTTTTTTACCATGGAGGAAAGTTACAAAAAACAAAATGGTAAGTGGGATGTGTACATCAATGAAGAAACACCAGCTTAATTTCGGCTGTCCAGCTAGACCAGCTTTTATCGTCACTGAAGGTTTGATAACATGTCTTAAATTTGGGCTTTTTTGAGGTATTTTTTGCATGAAAGGCATAAAAATGAATGCCATTCTGTATCAAAATTCAGTTCTCACAAAGCTTATGGAACCTTTTTCACTTATCATGCTCAATAACAGACACTGGGAGTTCCAGCAGGATTCTGAGCCAGCTCATAGAGCGAAAAGCGCGCAAAACCCGCTCGTAGGGCGTAAAATTGACCTCAGCCGGCACGAAGTCTGGCCCTCATCCAGTCCAGACTCTAATCCGTTGGATTACAAAATATGGCAACATTTGGAGAAGAAGGCCTGCTCTATGCCTCATACTGATTTGGAGTCCTTCGAGGCATCCTGTTTTAAACCAGCCGCCGATATTGATAGGAAACTCGCTCGTGTTTCTAGAGACCGCTGACCGCGCAGTTTGAACCCTTGTATTCATAATTGCGAGGAAAATATGAAATATTTTTTATAAGCATAAAATCTTTGTTTTAGTACCTTTCTATTGGTATATAAATGATTGCCGATGATACAAGTACTGTGTCGCCATCTAGCGCACCACAGTTTTTATTTTCTTTCTTTTCATAGCGAATATATTTTTTTTATAATGGGTGAAGAATACGCGCGCGTACGTTACTCACTACTCGATCGTGAATACTTTGTGCATTAAAAACCCGCGGTGGGTGCGCCGCGCGTGTTTTGTTATCGATGCCTGCTTGGATAGTTTCATCTTCCAACATTGGCACTTATAATATTGTGTGGCTTTACTAAATGTTTGGAGGCAAACATTGAATTTTCGGACAAATCCAGTTTATTCTGTAACCTATTATTGACACCGTTTAATAGAGAGCTCCTGAAGCACTTTCAGGATCGTTTACCAGTTTTTCGATATCTTGTATAGTTTAGAAATAATCGAGTGAGATCACTTATCGTTTCCACCCTGTATATCAATAGCTTAACAAACATAATAATATGCATTCGCGCGCGTCGACCCTTAAATAGAGTTGTGTAAAATGTGTGACTATTATAAATATAAACTATCTAGTGGCTCGAAGATGTCACGTTCTGCATTGTATGCAGTTTCGGGACATACGGTGTAATGCGTCAGTCGTCTTATACCGCGCTTCCCAATCACACTCTCATATTACTGTATTAAATAGTATTGTGCCGTTATTCGAAACCTATTAATGTGAGTAGCCTTCTTTTCCAATTTTTAAACTAGTAACGACGTTAAATTTGCTGTACTGTACAATCTTGGTGCACTGATTACAACATATTAATAATTATTAGAATCTGGATTTATCGTTCGTTTCAGCCGAAAGACGTCCACTGCTGGACAAAGGTCTCCCCCAAGGATTTCCACAAAGACCGGTCCTGCGCCGCCCGCATCCAGGAACCTCCCGCGACCTTCACCAGATCGTCGGTCCACCTAGTGGGAGACCTGCCTACACTACGTCTTCCGGCTGGTGGTCGCCACTCGAGAACTTTCCTGCCCCAGCGGTCATTATCTCTGCGAGCTATGTGCCCCGCCCACTGCCACTTGATTTAAGCGATTCTGCTGGATTTATACTCAATTCTCAACCTTTTATTGCATCCATTATGTACTTAAAATTAGAACATTATGGGCCCTTATGATTTCTTATTTACTACCGCATAGTCCAGCCGCGAGCCAACCAAAGACTCTTCAACTACATTTTTCATGAAATGAATTTATTCAAATCCCTACAAATATTATAAATGCGAAAGTAGCTCTGTTTGTCTGTCGGTCTGTGTCGCTTTCATGCCTAAACCACTGAACCGATTTTGATGAAATTTGGCATTGATATAGTTTGAGTAGGAAAGGACATAGGATAGTTTTCATCCCGGTTTTTGAAACGGGGACGTGCGCGATAATTTTTTTCTGTGACAGACAAAATTTCACGCGGACGGTAGGTAAGCTATTATGTAATAAAATGTGTTTACACGTTGACTTAATTATTTATGTTTCTTATCACCAGGGGCAAACCTGCGTAGACCTAGCAGACCCGTCGATCTCGGCTTGGCTCTCCGAAGCGGTGATGAAACTGCCCCGGCGCATCAACAACAACAACAATAAGCGCAAGCGCAGCCCGCCTAAGCAGTACGACGCGAAGCGTGTCGTCGAACTACACATCACGGGACAGGACGCTGTCAACGGTACGTGTCATTCAACTGATTTTACAACGCCAGCCCTAGAATGCGCGCCGTGATTAAATCATATCTATGATTTTAGACGACAATTGTATGGGCTTATCATATAACGTCGACAACAACCCGCGATAAAAGCTTATCGCGGCACGCATCCTAGGCTTACTGGTTCAGAGCTTAGACACAGAGATAATCGCGCTGTTACTGGGCTATTCTCTTACATAAAACCGTGTCCGTAAAGTGACTGAATTTGATTGACCGTCATTTACTGTTAAATTGGTCAAAATCTGTCAAAAACTAGTCATTACTGTCAAAAATTGTCATTTTCAGTCAGTTTAAGTAATAGTTGAGTACTTTTTTTTTTTTCTCCTTTTACAATGGTTCTAAAACTTCTAAATTGACACAATCAGTGAGCGCATCGCCATTGAAAATCACCCAGAAACCGCGCGTTTATCATGCGTGTCCGAACTAGGCCCTGCCTACAGTAATGTGACGCAGATGTCAATTCCGTTAATAGTACGCGAAATTTAGATTTGTAAAGGTTAAATAACATTAACGTCGATATAACCACACAACAACCCCCGTGATTTTCAGTTTATCACAGAAAGTATCTTGCCATAGAAAAACCTAAATGAGGTGTGATATCGGTAATATGAGAAATGATTGGCCCCTTAGACATGCATTCCTATTATTTAGCATCATTCGCTGTACGTCTGCTAGGTACCAAAACACTGTTTGTCTCCCGAAATTTCCCAGTGATTGTAAAATGAGGGATTTAATTAATTTATGCTCTAGAAAGACCTTTGATCTTGACTATCGAAGCATTTTTTTCTTCAGGTTTGGAGTGATCTACATTATGACTTTGTTATTAGTCATAATTACATATATTACTCCTTTTTAGTTTTTTATCTAATGAAGTGGATTGATCTAAATTATGACATAATTTTGATCATAATTAGATTACTTTCATATAGTTCTTTTTTCAGGATTAGAGTGATCTATGTTATGATTTTTTTTGTCATGACTAAATTACTCCTTTTTGTTTTAATAGTTGTACTTTTTTTGTTTCAGTAAAATGATATATAGCCTGACCAGGAACATAAAAACCCTGGCATAGAGGCGCGTCAATTGCATTTGATAGTGCAACACTGAGTACAGTCGTACCTGTGTTAAATTAATAGGCTAACTTTATGTATCAGGATTCAGCATTACGGGCTAATTTGATATTTTCATAAATTAACGAAAACATATTATTATAGGTAACCTGGTTTAAATAAATTAAATGAAACCATCAATCGAGCTGGTAGGATTTATTTTATTATTCATCAATAATCAAATTCAGAACTTGAATATTCAACTGCAATGTCTGCTCATGAACGCTTCAAACTCGGTACCTACTTCTTTTCCAATTCCATAAAATTCAACACGAAAGTGACAAAAAATTTTAAAATAGGTAGTTGAAACAAACCACATCTAATTTTCATAGTGGACTGTACTATACGATAAACATGTCAGTCAATTTGACAACCTTTGTCGGAAACATTATTCAATGAAAATATTGTCCGAACCCTTAGTATTTCTCTTCGACAAATACTTTAACACATTGTGAACCACTATTCTTTCACGACTATAAAAATATTTTAGCAATTTAATTCACAAAATCAATTGCGCACATTTAAAATAAAGTTTATTTACACTTTGACAGCAATAGACTGACATGCAAGATGACATGTCAATGAAGTTTTCGGTTACTGTTGCCATTAAAAGAAATTAGTACCATTAGTTTTCCGCAACATGGCGAGGGTTTTTATGTTCCTGGTCGGGCTATAATAATATTTTCTATTGTCGATGTGAAAGTGCAACTTATAACTTATGTTTATTTATATTTTTTTATAATTATTTATTGATTTGATTATTGAGTGCAGACTAGTGAGCAGTTCACTGTGAGTGCTATTAATACAGGGTGGAAACGATAAGTGATCTCATTCGATTATATCTAAACTCTTGTGTAGTATATCGAAAAACTGCTTACTGATCTTGAAAGTGCTTCACGAGCTCTTTCAAACGATATCAGTAATAGGTTACAGAANGTCCATCCCGTGGCGTCGGCTTATCCTTGAATTTTGGGACACGTTGTATACATAGTTGGTCAGGGAATTTTGAAAAAATTGTCAGGGAAAGTCAGGGAAAAGTCAGGGAATTTTTTCGAACATTTGCAGTGGACACCCTGATTCAGCAGCTTAGGCTTGAAAATATCAGTATTCAATTTACTTTTGCATTTGTAATGATAAGTAAAGAAGAACTTTTAATAAATAAAAAGACGTGACTAGTTGTTAAACAATCTTCGCTTTGAAATTAGATATGGTCGAGTTAGCATTATAGGAAAAGTGCAATTTGAAACTTATCAACCTTACAAATATGGTAGCGCGTGTAAATTGTTAGCCAATACTTATAACATAATGTACGAGTATAACTGACTGCCCTAATATCATCGTACAACCAGCACATATCTTTTTTTAATAACGAGGGTGAGCTCCGAAGAGGTTTTCTGAAATTCAACATCTAAAGGAGTAAATTTTCTAAGACAGACCGAATTCACGCGGGCGAAGCCGCGGGCAAAAGATAGCCTAGTAAAACTACAATTCGTTTTCATTTAATGGTTAAAAGTCAGCTAAACCGCACCACATAAGATCTCAGACGTTACTAATATGGGAAAATCCGTTCTACCGTGGTGACATTATGTGTTAACATCGTCTAACATGGCACACTGCCTGAGAGGCGGCAGCTTTTCAATGTTCGACCGCACTTTAACTACTCATGGGGGTGCAGCCAGGGTGAAATAGACCTTAAACACGGACAAAGATCATGTGTTTGAACATTAAACAACATTATTTCAACTTGAGTCGATTTTATAATTTAAAGGGGTAAATAATTGGCTGCCTATTTCTTTGTAATGAAAGGTACTTGGTAACTGGATGTATGATTTGAGTCAGTTTGATATTTAAAATTATATAGCCACTGTATCAGTGGTTGATTTTGATTTATTGTATCCGACTTAAGTTATTAAAGATTTCAATACTTCTATCTGCGTTCGCTTCGACACGTTGCTAATGTGGATAAGTGAACGAATGTATTGAAATAGTTCCGCTGTCATGGTTTTGCGGCAAAGATGTGCCGGCGTTCTAGACGACCAACCACTAAAGTACGAGTAGTTAATTGTAATGGTTTCCATTTTCCTTTTCGACATTACAACTCTTAACAGGTTTTCGATATCGGTAGCTAAAACTGACTCTTATCATAGAACCAGTACGTCAAATGTGTCTAGACACCTCGTTATCGAATTTAAACCTTTACCCCTGGCTCCGCCTCACCTCGCCTCATACCTAACAACAGACAAGCCGGCGGCGCCGGAGATCATAACTAAGGTGGCGGAGGGCAAGCCGCCGAAGGGGCGGGCTCCGTCGCCGGAGCACGCGGAGCCCGAGCCGACGGAAGACGCGCCGTCGTGGCGTCGCTCCGCCAGCTTCAGAAGGCAGCAGGAGACGCCCAGTAAGTCACGTTCGGGATAATGACACGGCTACATTTGCGCCTTTTTACATTGGGAGCCTTTCACACATTCACTGTTGTTGACACACTTGATTTCGAACTCTTAAACACTTGACTTCGAACTCTTAAGTTCTTCTGATTAATTTATTTTCCCCAGGAACGAACTTGACCTTCACTGGTTGGGTTTTTATTGGTGGTCAAGCAGGACCTACAAGCCTGGCTATACAAAAGTTGCAGCTTAATTTCTGCCTTAACCACATTTCGAGTCTTTGACTACTTTGCCTAGCCAATCGTTTATTTTGTATATGTGCTACGAAAGTAGTATCGTGTCCACACTTGCAAAAACCTTGGTTCATTTGAATAACCACCTCGTTTATACAATAAAAGTTGACACTACGCAGGTTTCTGGATGTTAAAAAAAACCACGCAAGTGAGATATTTCACTTATAAAAAAAAATTAACCAGAGGTGGAATTGTGTAAAGCAATCGTTATCATTTGATTTGACAGTTCATAACGTATGATTATTCTGTCAAACGCTTTGTTTTGTCGTACGTTATCAACTGTCAAATGATTACGATTGCTTTACACAATTCCACCTCTGATTAAATTGAATCAAAGTTATATGTTATGGCGTTAGCTTCATGAGGCGCAGATGGAGCCGTTACAATTTATGGTCAGTCACAACCAGCAAGGGATATTACTCGCATTCACTCCATGAGGGTGGATTCGACCAAACAATCGTCAGTTTTGACATATTTCCCATACTGAAACTGTCAATGTGCTAGTCATACCAACAGTTATTCTCGGGTAAAAGTTTGGTCGAATCGGGCCTAAATGGCATAAATAATCAACATACCTAAACGTCATTAAGTTTTCGGCACTAAATGTTCATTAACTTGACACAATTGCAGTTTTTGTGTACGGTTGGGTTAGGAAGATACCCAAACTCGACAGCCTAGGGATCAAAACTATGGTTAATTAGAAACTGGTTAAGTGGATGACAAGAAGTGTTTGGCATAATAAAAAATTATGCGTTCTACAAAATGGTCGCTAAGTTATACTGTTTTTCTTTTACAGGAGATAATAATAAACCAGTTAACAACACCGTAGACAACGACACCATCCTGAGGAGGACGCACAGCTTCGAGAACGACAAGACGTGAGTTCAACGCCATTTTATACCTAACTTTGATGTTAATATTATTTTATTTTTTTACATAAATTCTTTCAAACAAGACGAGAATTTCCTTGGCATGTATAAAGAAATCATCGCTGTACAGTGCTGGCATGATTTCCGGCCTAATATCGTAACAAATGCTGGCAATATTTCACTAAAATCCATAATTAAAAATATCATACGATGTTATAACAATGTGCTAACGAGTCGTTATTACCTATAGATATGATTGATTTCAGAAGAGAGAAAGGCCACGTTGTCAGTTTGTTAATAAGCCGTTTCGATAAAACAAGACGGTCGAGAGGTTTTCAGGAGCTAAGTGCTTTGGATCAGTTAGTCATCTCACAGTACTTGTGTTTGTTTTTAGCGTACACTAATGCCCGTGTTACTATACCACGTTCGAAACTCAAGTATGTAGATTCAGTTCTGTGATAGGTTTATTGAAATTAAACCTATCGAAGAGTTGAGTTTACTCAACATTGAAACGAGTTTCGTGCGTGGTTGAGTTTTACGGGCCTAAGGCGTAGTCTACACAAAAAGATGAAAAACACTTCTCACATCATGCATAATATAAAAATGTCGTTCACATATCATAATATCTTTTTGTGTGGACTACGTTTTAATTTGTCCATTGTATCGTTCGAAATGTGGTGTAGGTGATAGGGGATGTGCTTGGCTTGAGGACTGTCCTATTCAATGTTGTGGAAACGGATTCTCTGGCAAGTGACAATTTCATGTTGTGATGTTTCTTAAATTTTAACACTACTGTACATATCAATGTACGTTTGTATTCCACTGGCGGGTTGAGTTGGCTAGAAGCTTTTGTGTCTGTTAACAAAACGATTATAAAAATAGTTAAAATCTTTTTCAAAAGTCAAAGCAATAAATCCACTAGATAATAAACAGTAGAATCATTTTGTGTCCCGCACGGCACTAAAATTAAAATTTTTTTGATTTGCAAAATGCAAAGCTATATGCTTGATATAATCATCGATATACTCTTAGACACATTTTTCTTGTCTTTATGTTTCATACAACTCACGTTTCTATGCACACATTTCATAGTGCGTGCACCATACAAAATCACTGCTGTTATCAATACTCAAACATATAAAAATGCAGCAAGGTAGAATAGTCCATTACGTAAAACATGCACAAATTCAAAATAATTATTTGACAGCAAAAATCTCACATAATTACCATAATGTATGCTATTCAAATTCAATTTATTTAATTAGATTTACCAAGTTATAAGTACCTAATGCAAAACGTTTTATGGAACCCCAATCCAATAAAGGATGGCAAATAAATGAAAATGAGACATAATTTAACTAAATAAATAATTATCTTCGGGGACTTTACACTGCGCATGTAAGTCGCAAAACTAAGCATAGCTTGTACTATGGGTATTAGACAACAGAAATAAATATATCTAGTATATTACTTTTTTAAAATCTTCATTTAATGATCGTTGTCCCTGGGCCACACTCATCGTGATAAAACTCGGGCGCCAGTGGAGCGAAGTCGAAAGAACACTGAAGTATTATAGTCAAACGAGTTTCAAGAATTGATTTGGCAAAAATTGGAACTAATAACACAGTATTCATAAAGGCGCCTTCAAATCTCAACTAATAATCCCGTATTGATTGAAGCGCCCTCCTGTCAATGTCATAGCTGGGACGGTTCAGTGTTGGAGAACTATACGCGAATATTTGGGCCAGTTGTTAGTAAATAGTTTCTAGTGTAAAATAATTCATTCACAAAAGCTCACCCGACCTCGCCAGCCTTACCCGCCCACTGTAGCATGCTTGTGTGTTGTGGCAGTTTCTATCAGCGCTACCGTGACGTCACGGCGCGTATCAAGGCCTCGTCGTGCCCGTCCATCCCGCCGCTGCCGCAGGCCGCGTTGGCCGCCGTCGAACTAAGGAAAAAGGAGACTAACACCACAGAGAATACTAACGAGGACGTGCAGACCAGGTGCCGACGACTGCGCGACGGTTGCCAAATGTGTCACAAACTTCTTAGTTCAAAAAATTTGATCTCTAGCTCCGATGGGATATCTTTGATAATGTTCTTAAACAGAGATTGAAAATATCCTACTTTTTCTCTAGCGTCTCGTACGTGTATGTAAAAATTCCTTTTACTTGTTTGAAAAGTATTGGGACTACGATTACGAATAATTTCAGCCTTACTGACTAAAATATAAATGCCTCCCCATTGAACAGGAAAAAAGAATGAGATCCGTTTTAAAGTGGATCATTCAACATAATATGTATTTCTTCGATACAGTATGCAGGGTGTGGTTTTGTAAAACAACGCCCATTTCAGGGGTGGCAGTATAAACGACACTGATGCCAAAAAAATATTTAAAAAATCCATGAAATTAGGAAAATGGTATTATTACGCGGGCGAGCTATCGGACAGTCCCCCTGCTCTCCCGGGGCGGCCGCATGTGCTCGGTGGTGTAGCGGGGTACGCGGGGGTGGTGCGGGCGGTAACAAGCGCCGTCTTGAAAGCTTTAGGAGACGTTTGAACAAGGTTTTTTTTACTATTAAAGTAATAGTACTTGAATCGCGACAAGGAAAAATTTCCGTGCTTTTAAGCGATTTTGTAAAAAATATTTTTGGCAGGTAGTTGCTAATTGCTCATAAGATAGGCCGCTTTAATTGATATTTATTGCCCGTGGTGCATAATCTTCTCTTAAAGGTTTTAAACCTTTGTTTGTCACTTGTCATCCGCTTTGCAATGGAGGGAAGTCGAACCTTAATTTCGAACTCCTCTTATGTTCTTCTGATTAATTTCGTTGCGGGTCCAATGACAGTTTAACTTTCCCCCGGGACAAACTTGACCTTCATTGGTTGGGTTTTTGTGGCGGTCAAGCTGTAGATCCTGGCTACACAGGAGTGGCAGTGGTGGGAACGAGAGGTGGGAATAGTCCCGTTATTAAAGTAATAGTTAAAATTTTATTTATAATTTTCTTAGAATTATTTTCATGTGTGCTACCAACCCTGAGATGGGCGTTGTTTTGCAAAACCACAGTATTTCATCATAGTATTTAAACAATGTTATTCGATGATCGAAAATACACATTTGGAAATCGTCGTTTACTAATAATAAGTAACCAATAAACTAAATTCTCATTAGGAACAAAGGACATCAACTAAATCTTCTAAAATCGTTTGCTACGCTTTATACTTTCTTATTTATTTATCTATATCTGAATGTAAACATGTCAACTATTTTAATGTGTCTTATGGTTATATCTGTAGTGTGTTGTAAATATGTTTAGTTCATATTTTTTGTATTTATTGTTTTGTATCGTAAGTCTTGTGATACGTCCCAGTAGAGTTAATGAAAACTATTTATATTTAAGTATTTATTTTGTTATTATTTATGTATTTCAGATGAAACAACATAGCTTTAATCCTGAATTATAAACATTGCAAAATTTTATTTATATTTTTCTTATTATTTGTGTGAAGAATTAACGTAGTTTGGGTAGTAAGTAGTAAAATGTAACTTAGATGATATTTATGACTTTAACACTTATCTCCAACACAGTGTTAACTGAAGACTGCGTACTTTATAGCTAGCCTGTTAAAGATCGTAAGGCTAAAGACCAAATTATAGATCAAAAGTCAACGTCAACGCCCCTTAATTTTTAGGTACTATTTTTCGTTAGTCTCTCTAGCTCCAAGGTGACTGACTGACTGACATAGTGATCTATCAACGCACAGCCAAAACCACTGGACGGATCGGGCTGAAATTTGGCATGCAGGTAGATATTATGACGTAGACATCCGCTAAGAAAGGATTTTACGAAACTCCACCCCTAAGGGGGGCGTAGTTCCTCTACGCGTACGAAGTCGCGGCTGCCGCTAGTCTTTTATATTATTTAAATCGGTTTGCGAGTTAAATGTTCCCCTCAAACTTATCAGTCTTCAGATTAATGCGTGTTACACAATAAGTAGTACACTACTATATCCATATAAAATGTGTAATGACATTATCTTTCGTACAGAATAAACCCATCGGAGAGGAGAGAGCGCGACGTGAACACATGGACCGCACCCGCCACCACCGCCGCCAACGCAAACACAACCACCACGAATGCCATCACCACGTCACAGACCACAGTCAGAAGGTACGTCAGAATGACGCACGTCATTATAAAAGTTCTTTTTCATCTGTGCCGTTTCCCATTTCGTTTGGGGTCGGCGCTCCTCGTTGTAAGGTGCCAAGACGCCGTTATAAAACTGTAGTCGTATTTGAATCAGTAAATAGATATTTGAGCCGTAGACAAAAAGCCTATAATTTTAGGCACATTTTGGCATTTATGAGACACATTTCTGTCGTTGTTGAATAATGTTAGTATGTATTGTTAAAAAAACACAAATATTTTAGTTCTATTCCTAGGTATGCCACAGCGTAGGAAGAATTTACATCTCAAATCATAATACTGAAACAGCTTTTGCGTCGATGGAGTTATAAATTTTTGTCCATCCTTACAAACTCTCGTTTTTATAATATTTAGTTAATATTTACTCTTGCACATAGTAAGTATGTACATTGTACACATATAGTATGTAAGCGTAATAATAATGTAACAAATACGAAGCGTGTGCTATCACGACTTCGTTGTTTATAAACTTTTTTGTTATTAAATTTTTGACAAATCTAATTTTGAGTGAACCGTGATGTCTTTTTCACTCTTACCCACTGCAAATCCAGAATGTTTTGTATGTGGTTCACTCCCTTCAGTTTAATTAACGATGATTTATATCGTTATGTGTAACACTAAAAGTAAATATTGACTTCATTCAATAAAGAGGTTAATTGCCTGCAATAGTGTGAGCATGTCTATTTCGTTGAATACAATCCAAAATATCCCTTGATCCTATCGACAGTAAGTTGTAAAGAAATTGGAAGTAGCTGTAATAATGTAAGTAAGTTTGGTTGAAATTGGCATTTAAATGTAAGGTAAATGTGAGTGGTGGTGTTTTAGAGCACGTAGCCTATTGGTTTCACTGTAATGAATAAAGTAATTGGTAATAGTAGTTTGAGATTGTTATCCACCTATTAGCTCTTTTTCAAAATTCCTTTCTTCCAACTTATTGTAGGGCAAAATAATTACGATGTTTCGTGACTTGGATGAATGTGACTGGTATGATTCATAAATAGGTAGGTACCACTCAAAGGTAGTAAGTTTAAAATTCATGTAGCTACTCGGTAACATAACTAGAAGGTACATTTTAATATTTTAACATTAAATAATATCTCAAAAGAATTTCGATTCTGTATATTCGGGCAAACTTTTTTTTGAGCTTTGAGGCATTTGCTGCCACAAATGTTAAATGTAAAAAGACAAGACTTTATGATGAAGTTATTGCGCTTTAAAACAGCTCTTCAGTCCAAATATGTACTTTAAGTTTACTAAAATAAGGCGCATAGTAATAAAGTGGTATGTACGCAACAGCACTCCAGAGAGCGTTGAGTCGAACAGTAGCAATTCCACGCCGAGCTCCGCGACGCCCACAAAACTGTCGCCGGGGAACATATTCAAGAATTTCTTCAAGTACCTACACCACATAGTTTGATGCTCACTTTGCTTGGAAAAATATCCATTACTTTAGCACAGCCCAACCCCCCAATACAGGGGATAGGTCTGCCAGACCCTAGGCATTAAATTTTCGATGTTTTTGATACTTGGAGCCTGTGTTTGGAAGCTATATTCAAAATCAAATTACATTCAGTCTGTGTTTTTTGAATTCTAATATTTGGGCCCTGTTTGCAAATTTACTAACTCAAATTATAATATTGAGATATGATACTATAATGATATCATACATATTATTAATGATATTTTAAACTTGATTTAGCTTAAAATTTAAAAAGCCGCTTTTACTGAGCTAAAGTAATTTAATGGCAGTTGCGAGCTTGCATTTAATTTTGAGTTTTGAGAATAGCTTCCAAAAATTATGCATAATGAATTATGCCAGTTTATTTTAAGATGTGTTTTTAGTTGTTATTATAAAAAGCTTTTTACTAGTTTTCATTTATTTTGTTACACTTAAATTTTATTATTTCCAAGCAAAGTAAGATTTTAGTGTGTTTAGTTAGCTTCGTCTATTATTATTATTTGCTCGGATGCATTTTATTTGCGGATTTTATTATTCGCGCATGTCGTTTGTGAACGTTAGATTAGGACTCTTATATGCATGAGTTTTGTTTTCAAGTAACGTGTTTTAGCGTGATATTGGCAGTAATAATCCACTCAAATTTGAGCTTTATGTCAATGTGAGTTGGACTGAATAATGAATGACGACTTTCAAACGGTCACAGGTCGTTCGTTCCCCCGGTGCGGGATGAGGAGAGTGAGACACAGAGGAAAGCTCACGCTAAACGAGTTCGTGAGACGCGGCGGTCTACCCAGGGGGTCACGCTCGACGAGATCAAATCCGCTGAGCAACTAGTGAAGAAAAAAGCTGGTAACGGCACCACAGAGAGCCCTTCACCGGCCAGCCTCAAGAAAACAGAAGACACGCCAGTACCTGCCACTACGGACAACGGATCGGTATGTAACCTACCGCTTGGACTAACTATCCCCTAGCAGAGGTTGAAGGGTTAAAACTAAAACTTTTCTCTTAGGTTTCAACTAATTCGGTATGAAATCGGTAGCTACGGGATCTTTCTTATTCTTATTGAAGACGCTTATTGTAACTTCAAAGGTTTCTGGATTCTGTAAAGGAACAATACACTTGATTGATTGGCCAAGAAATATTAGAGAAACTTCAAAGTCTGCTATAATTACTTGATCCTTGTACATACGTTGAGTTTGAAGTTGATGTGCTAATGCGGCTTGGTCACCATTTGCCGAAACATTGTTTGTATTAAATAATATTTGTATGTACATCATACAGTGTGGCGCTGTTTTAATAAGAACATTCTCATATGAATGTGTTCAATGTTCCATGCTTCATTTATGTTTCGTTTCCCAATACAAATGTGTAGTATATTTTGTACTATTTGTATTATAAATTCATCATTGGATTATCGGTGCAGTAATTTAGTCTTAAAATATGTGCAAAGACACAAGCACTAGAGGTTTTGTACCATTCCTTACTTGCGCGTGGCGGCGACGTGACGTAATGACATCGACTGAAATTCCGCAATTTGGAACTCCCTTACAAATTTTGGAACTTCCGTTAGCATCAGTACATACTCTATTCTTAGCGATGCAAGCGCCGTTGTCCCCTGCATAGCACCAATACATAAGGTCGCAATTCGTTAGGCGCGTGGCGGCGACGTGACGTGATGACATCGACCGAAATTCCGCAATTTGGAACTCCCTTACAAACTTCCGTTAGCATACATACTCTATTCTTAGTGACGCAAGCGCCGTTGTCCCCTGCATAGCACCAATACATAAGGTCGCAATTCGTTAGGCGCGTGGCGGCGACGTGGCGGTGCCGCTAGCGCTGGCGTGCGCGACCGCGACGGCGACCGCTACCATCGCCGCGAGCAGCGAGCGCCGCCCGTCGTGGCGGCTACGGCTCGACCCCGCTAATAAGGTTGCCGCTTGTTCTTACGTTACGGTGGGATTTGAGATGCTAAAAGTCATTTATTTTCTGCAAATAAGATTTGAAAAAGCGCTTTTGCAGTCCCCGTATAATCTGTTTCAATAATGGGCAAGTGCTGATAAAGATGCGCATGCGCCGGTACACCAGGGATTCTGCGCAGAACGAAGCAGCCAAGTAACATCGAGAAAATAGACTTCAAATTATTTATAGTGCGCGATATTAGAAAGATTATACATTGAATTATTAACTTCTTTATTTCTTGCTTTTTATGTCATACTAAGTCGGCCACGTAGTAGCGAAGCCTCATTCCCTCATGGTGGAATTAAGAGGCAAGTCCAGACATCGGGCGAAGTTAGCCGATCGTCAAGAATCAATGATACAGAGCATAATGTTCAATTACTCCAAAATCATTTTCATTTTCCTACAAAATGTTTGTTTGTCATTCATCTGATAAAAAAGCGTTTTACAATCCCGCCGCAACAAAACAAGCATTCTAAATTTCTATCGGCATGGTTTGACCACGTCTAAAGTTAGTGTTTGACATTTGGCGACAGATGGCCGTCGATACATAGTTCACTGGGCTTTGTACTCTAAAATATAGATCTTATTTCTGTTGCGAATGGGTCTACTTCTAATCAGCATGAGCTTTAGTTGTAAATATTAAAGTACACTGTTGTATAGTATCTAATTTGGCTAATGAATAACTTGCAATCGCCCATATTGATCTATCGGCTTCACGCATTTTGTGATATAATAGCATGCTGTAAATTATTTCTAAAATGCATGTAGTATTAATTGCCTGTCATTAATACTGTAGAACTATTCTATCGCTGCATCTTGTAGTTTTGTGTTACTTATCAAATGTTTTACAGTTACAGTCAGAGTCAAAAAGTTCGTGACACGTCTTTGTTACAATAGGAATAAGGTTATGTTGTGAACTCTTTGGCCACTTTGGGTGTCACGAACTATTGAACGCTGACTGTACATAGATGTTTCGAATACAGTGTGAGTCACGTTTAAGTGTACATATGAAAATAGATGAAACTAGACCTATTTTTATCGACAAAAAAGAGGTCAAAAAATTTTTGAGATTTTTTTTTTATTTTTATAGATTTTATTTTCTTCCAAATACTTATGGTAAAGAAAACGTAATAACTTTTAAACTAAGCGGTATATCCTGATAAAATAAAAACAGTAATAATGCTAAATAACAGGCGATACTAAAAAATACATAAAATACACAAAAAAGGCCAACAAATAATAAAAAATTATACTTTTTGAAAAAAATCTGCTTTAAAATTCGTGTTTTTTTGGTTATTTGATAAATTTCTCCAAAAAATGCCCCTTTAACCGGTGGTTTTTATTACTTTGTATTATTCTCTATCGTATTACCTTTGTAAAACCAAAAATCGCATGTCTCTATCCCTATCACAACGTTTGCAATGATCGTTTGAACTAAGCCTCTCCGGGCGCGCCATTCAAAGCTTCGTTATCAACGAAACTGAAAATGGCTCTCGATATGTAATTTTGATAAAGACAAGTTAGATTTCAAATAAAAACTAAAGATTTCGAAGAAAAATAAGAATTTTAGTTAAAATTAAAATTGTCTCTACCTGTAGCGGAGAATAATGTTGTGGCAGGCCTTTGTTCAAACGTTTATAGCAAATGTTGTGATAGGGATAGAGACATGCGATTTTTGCTTTTACAAAGATAATACGATAGAGAATAATAAAAAGTAATAAAAACCACCTGTTATAGGGGCATTTTTTGGAGACTTTATCAAATAACCAAAAAAACACGAATTTTAAAGCAGATTTTTTTCGAAAAGTATCATTTTTTATTATTTGTTGGCATTTTTTTGTGTATTTTATGTATTTTTTTAGTATCGCCTGTTATTTAGCATTATTACTGTATTTATTTTATCAGGATATACCGCTTAGTTTAAAAGTTATTACGTTTTCTTTACAATAAGTAATTGGAAGAAAAAAAAATCTATAAAAAATTTAAAAAAAATCTCAAAAATTTTTTGACCTCTTTTTTGTCGATAAAAATAGGTCTAGTTTCATCTATTTTCATATGTACACTTTAACGTGACTCACACTGTATAATGTTTTAGTAAAGTTAACTTTGTTTCGATCAAATGGATTTGGGAGGAAATATTTCACAATAGCTAAAATAAAAAAATACAGTTTTGTTATAGCATATCATAATTATGTAATTATTCTACTATGTAGTTCCATCCAGTTGATTGAAACAAATCACAATTGGTGTTCATAATTTTGGTTAATTATGATATTTTTTAGGAATCAAGCACGTTAAAAATAATTTTATCAAGTTTGATAATGAAATGTTCTACGATGCACCCTACACTTTGAGCAGTTGTTTTTATATTTCCAGCACATTTTTCACTTGCATGTAAATCCAGTAAAAATCAGCAGCAAAGACTTATGTACCCCTAGACAGGCTGTTCTGAACAAAAATATAGCTCACTAGATCACACACAAAGATAACGAAACGCATTTAATCGACTGTTAGTGAGTAAAAGGAGCAGATGTAGCGCCGAGGACTGCGAATTGAACAAGCTGACAATCGTATTGTTAAAAAAACGTCATAATTAGTTACATATAATTAATTTAGGTTTCTACTGTAGTGGAGCGATTTAGGAGGGTCTTTTTGTTAATTTAAAACATCCGAGAGACCGTCCGTTTCTGTACGCATCTCTGTAACATTTTGTGTACGTGATTTTAGTGTGCAAGTTTATCAACAACTTTTGTTCAGAACAGTTCTAGTATCATTTAGAAGTCTTTGTTCATCAGTATGAGTATTACTAATCTGGATTATAAATCCCAGTTCGAGTTGGAAGACGCGGGCCGATCGTCGCCGCGCGCGGCTGCGCCTGCGACCGAGGCCACCGTCACGCTGCCTCTGCGGCGCCCTCCCGCGGGCTCCACCGCCAACACCACGTCCCCACCCGCCAACGATGAGAGAGAAAAAGGTATAGTTCCAAAATACTGAACTGTCCTATCCATGACATTGACAGCGGGGCGCCACCGTCAATACCGGATCGCTGGTTCCAATTTTTGCCATGTTGGAAGCCATATAGTTGAACGATGGTAGCGCCCCCCTGTCATTGAGTTTGGTGGGACAGTTCAGCGTGTGTCATCTATAATATGTCATGACAGCTTAATTCACGGTCACTCCGATAGTTATGTGTAGTGCAAGTTAATAAATATGTCGGCTCGTCAGGGATTCGAACCTCAGATATTGTGGGCAGGGTATCGTGCAATGAGAATGAGACTTGTGTTCGAACACTTTTAATAATCTTCAGACAGAGTTCAAAATCAGCACTTAGTTCTTAGTATTACAATCTAGACTTCGTCGAGCGATAAAATAGGCACTAGGTGAAACGTGGGACAGTTCCGTGACGATGTCTTCTCTTGTCGGCGTCCGGAGCGAAAGTGAGTTCGATCCGTCCCGCCGTGACCGTTACGACTCTGTCGAAGCGCGCCAAAGCGGTGTTGCGCCGATTCGCCGCTAGGTGGCGCACTTGCGTTTCACTTTAGTGTCCGTACTCATGACCGTCTGCGACAAATAAAATAACGAGTGTACTGTATAAAATTAGAATATATTCGATATAAATTTACAATTATAAGGAGACCGTTTAGTACAAAGTCGTTGAAGCGAGTGCGTCAGGGTTGTCTTCGTGGATGTTCGCTCGCGAACCGAACATTGCTCGTTCGTTCGTCGAACGCTCGCCGCTCCCTCCGATCACGCCGCCCGCGGGTAATGTCCGTGCGTAGACATTCACCAAATTTCAAAGTTCCGTTAAGGTCTTTGATCTCGAAGTTTAAAAATATAACACAAGTCTCTTGTGCTCGGGGAAAAGCTTTACGTTTGCCTTCGATATTGACTGCGTAAAAAAGTGACATTAAACTTATGATGGATTGTACAGCGCAACTAGCGGAAACTTTCAAGAACTAAAATCTTCATATATTTTTTAACGCAGTGATATCGAATGCGTTTGACGTAAACTCACACTACGCCCCCTGTAGTTACAACGGATGGTTCTAGTATAGTTAAAAATTACCAGTATTGTATTTGTACCTTAAACTAAAGACACGCTCTTCCTGTTGTCCTATAATGCACAGCTTCATGCATCAAGCTACTATGATATCTCATTAATTTGTAATAAAGGGGTTGTAAAATGAATACTCTGATGTCCACATTAAAAGTCCAGCCTGTATCTTACGTTGTATTGCAGGCGACGAAGAGAAGGAACGCGAGAGCAGTTCTGAGAGCAAGTCGTCTTCAGCCTCTCCCGCCAGCACGCAAGCGGCGCTCAATGTCATCCAGCGCCGGCGCAGGCCCAAGCGACGCTCCACCGGCGTGGGACACGTCGACATGGACGTACGTAATCAACTATAGTCTGGTCTGTGAGCACGTAGAATTTTGTCCAATGACCCCAAGCTACCCATCCTTATCGCTCGCGCGTAATTATATTGCTGTCGCGACTGTGTGACGGGCGCCCGCAGTGAGTGTGCGAGCGTGACAGCAACATAATTACGCGCGAGCGATAAGGATGGGTAGCTCGGGGTCATTTGACAAAATTCTACGTGCTCACAGACCGGGCTTTACACTCGACATCAAATAAATCACACCTCCCGCGACAAGCACTTTCAAACGTAAGCATCCCCACTTCCCACCAATATTGGCACCATTTAAAAGCCTAGTTTTAAACTTCATTTCATTAAAGGAAAGGTTTTTTACCCCAAAAAAGTGTCTCTAGAAGGATCCATAGTCACTTCTTAAAAAAATACGTAGTTACGCTTGAGCCAACTTTTATGGCTATAAAACTTAAGTTGGGATTAATCGCTATCCATCTGTCAAAGAGGACACGTGTGATCATTATTTGGTTTTATAACCATAAAAATTGGTCGAATTGATCCCAGAGGTGAGCCCAAAGTGAGGTCTTTTTTCAAGTCACATTTATGGTGTATGTTAATCATTTATTAAATGTGTTTTTCTTTAAGGATATTTATTGGGCTTTCAAATAACACCAATATTTTTGGAGCACCATAATTGTGTCAGAAGAAAATCTTTAAAGTTCGCGTCGCGAAAGGTGCGGTTTATTTGATGTTGAGTGTATTTTAATGAATGTATAAAGATACCGGCTCTAGTGCCCAACTAACAAAGCTTGTGCTGTGTGACGTCATCCAGCGCCGGCGCAGGCCCAAGCGACGCTCCACCGGCGTGGAACACATCGACATCAACGTACATATTCTTTTGATATCTTTATTTTTCTTAGCGAATAGTCGCTTCTCAAACTAAATTTTAAATATTTTTTTATATCTTATGCCGAACTTGCGATGCTTTAGAGCGTGCGCGCACGGGCGTCACTGTCGCAGTTTATCTCTCCATAGATAAGAATAAGTACTATGTTATCTCTCTTTTTCTCTTTATAAAAGTGTAAAAGAGAAAGACATTCTGTCACGGTGGCAATCAGAGCCGGCGCAGGCCCAAGTGGCGTCCCACCGGCGTAGGCCAGGTGGACATGAACGTACTATCGCCAACAGTGTTAACTGCCCATTGAAAGTCATGTCATATCGTTCTATCGCAAAGAATCGCCATTTGATTAGAGCGAGAGCAAAAATGGAAATGGATAGTTAGCAGTGTGGGCGTGTGTACGTAAAGGACTACCGTAGCAAATATTAGTACTTTTCAAAATGCCAGCTAGTGCCGAACTAGTGAAAGTTATACTCTATGACGTCATCGAGCGCCGGCGCAGGCCCAAGCTTCGTTTAACTGGCGCAGGCCACATGGATATGGACGTACGTAACAAACAACATCATCGGGTCATTTAGTCGCTACTGCAGGAACATAACCCTTTCCAATTTACCAGGGGCAATGAAGATTTGGTCTACACTTCCACATAGACCAGACGAGCTGGTGAATTGGTCTGTAGTGCTGAACTAGCGATGCTAGCTAGCTAAGCTACTGTGTAATGTCATTATGTAGCGCCGGCGCAGGCCTAAAGAATTTCCAAATTATTCCAAATTTGAGAAGTCTTTTTTCCATATAATTTGCTACATTAAGGCCAGATTCGACCAAACTTTTATCCGAGAATAACTCCTGGTATAACTGGCACATTGACAGTTTCAGAATGGGAAATAATTATGTCATAATGTCGAATAATTGATGATTTTTTCTGAGATTAATATTTACTCTTGTTTGGTCGAATCCACCCTTATTTTTTTACACGTTCTTAGTGTCGCACTACAAAAGATCCGTAAACTTAGTACTGGCTCAGTGGAAAACTTTACACGATGTTAGGCGCTGCACCTTAAAATTGTTTGAAGTCAATAAACTATTACAAATAATTTTACGCCTTGTTCGCGAAACCATTATCCTCGTTTTCATGTAATATTATGTCTCAAACTGAATAACACGGTTTCAATACTAATCCCGATTTCGGTAACATCAAACATTGGCATTGCTATAAAACTACGCACGCACCTCGTTAAAACGGTAACACCAATTAATCCATTTCATTGTAGGGTAGATTAATTTCGATCATCACAATGGAGGTTGCCAACACTTGGTGACACGTTTTTCTCATAGAAACCGTGACACGTCGTACAATGAACCGGTTGGTGGTCTAATTTCGTAGTTCGTTCGCCAACTCGAGCGTTACTCCTCCATAAAACCGGGATATATTCAGTTTTATTTTGATTATGTAAGCGAATCGCGTGTTTATTGTTTGCGATGTAATGTCACGCGGGAATGTAGGCCGATGTGCGGTTATATTTAACAAGTGTTAGAACGCGACTTCGTTCACTGAAAACCGTAAGAAATGTGTCACTATGAATGAAGATTCGTGTGAACTGTTGTATAATACATAGTACATGCCTTTAAAAGTAACGAGATAATGATCTCATCATGTTATTTTATTTTTAATATTTCTAGAGCGAATTAGTAGAAGTCGTCGTATGGTATAAGTAATACTCGCGCTTTTATTTGATTTATTTTATTTAATGTAGTTTTTATTAACTGTAGTTCCGTGTGAAAAGAACAGTGAGTGCTTACGTCCGTAACACGGCGAAGTAAATATCCAAAATATATTCCAAATCATTAACATCAAAAATAACTCTTTCGAGAATCATTGACGTTTTTGGCTTTGCGAACTCCACGAATGTCACTCGGTGGGCGTAGTCGGAGATGATTTTACATAAATTAGCTTTAGCAAGCCCGAGTGGACAGCTGCCTTTTTAATTAATCATTGTAATTTTAGACCTAATCTGCGTAATTAGCACGTAAATACAAATATTCGCAGCAAAACTGCGTCGTTGAGATAAAAGATAATTTAAACAAAAAGACAATCATATTCTTTGGAACTAACTTACTTATTGCATAGCATATGAATGTCAGTACGAGTATTCACTTCTGAGTTGTGAAAATTGGAAAAGAAAGTAGGTGAACTTATTTGGGTATTTTTCAATATCCACATTGCGACCCCTAATCCAAAATGGCTAGTAACTTTAACAAATTAATTTGTTCACAGGACATCGTAAATGACCGCGGTGGGGGCGGCGAGGGTGATGGCGACACAGAAACAGTTCAGGTATGTTTTTTGACTAAATACACATTTTGAATTCCTTTAAAAAAGTACTAATACGTAAGGTTTTTGAACTCGAAGCGGACGTTACAGATAGCCTAATTAAAATATATCAACCGAAAATAAAAGAAACACCGTAATCTGATACCAAACATTTATGGTAATAGATACTGCCTGTAACCTCAATAAACTACTTTTCCCGTCTTAAGTCTGTCCGTAGGCGGTGTATAACGACCAAACAGTTAATCAACCATAAGAAGAGCCCACATAGCGACCAGTATGGGTTTCCTCAAACAAACCGAAGCGTCTTTGGTCATACTACGTGCTAATGTCATTGGGGTGACTCTATGCGTTACAAAGCTGGGTTCTTTTGTTTCTAAGAAGTTTGTGGTTTTCCTTTTATTGTGTTTGGCTTTCTATCTATGCCATTATTATGGTTTTATAGGCCGTTTTTGAATGATGAAAACAAGAGATTCTTAAAATCCTTTGTTTTGCATAATTAGTTTTATGTGGGATTATAACGAATGTATAAAACACTGCAAAATACCAATAGCTATCTGAACAAATTTTGAAAAACAAGCTACCTATATCTTGGTTCTGTGTTTCTATGAAATATTAGTGCATATGAATTACAATGGTAAAAGTTCGTGTATGTCCTAGCTTTAAAGACATTTCGTTACAAAGTAAATCTTGTTTGTACTATTGAGCATTTTAGTTGTCAATTCAGGCAAAGAAATGTCAATTTATAAACATAATATTTCAGGGAATCAATTTCACGCCCAAATCGCATCAGCAGAGGGCTGCTGAGCACTCAACGACCGAAGTTGACTCTGTGTCTGTCATAGACATTATTCATTTTTCTTTTAGCAAACTTGTCACATGACACATTATGAAATATGACAATAAGTGTGTCAGTAGGAAAGCAATTTTCACATCAAAGTCTAATACTGAGTGGTAGGACTTCTGAACTGGTCTGATGTAAACAAACTCATAAATAGCATTTCAATATCGTATTTCAAAGTAGGTGACTGAAAGTTGTAGGTGTGTAATATTATGATCAGGAGAAGTAATTTGAGATTAGCTCAAGTACTATTTTTAATTGCCTTCTATCTGGTTATTTCTATAGATCCTTATAACATTACTACCGGCCGCCCGCGACTTCGTACGCGTGGATCCTGTTTTACCCCCTTAGGGGTGGAGTTTCGTAAAATCCTTTCTTAGCGGATGCCTACGTCATAACATCTACCTGCATGCCAAATTTTAGCCCGATCCGTCCAGTGGTTTGGGCTGTGCGTTGATAGATCACTATGTCAGTCAGTCAGTCACATTTGAGTTAAATATATTTAGAACTAGCGGCCGCCCGCGACTTCGTACGCGTGGATTCCGTTTTACCCCCTTCATTTATCTTACGCGGTTCACATTTTTTCATACAAATGTTTTTTCCCGATAACTCCCGTTCCCGTGGGAATTTTGCAATATCCTGTTGTAACTAAGCTTTAAGTTTACTAAGATACCTGCATGCCAAATTTCAAGCGTCTAACTTACGCGGTTTACATTTTTTCATACAAATGTTTTTCCGTTAATTCCTGTTCCCGTAGGAATTTTGCAATATCCTGTTGTAACTAAGCTTTAAGTTTACTAAGGCACTTGCATGCCAAATTTCAAGCGTCTATCTTACGCGGTTTAGATTTTTTCATACAAAGGTTTTTTCCCGCTAACTCCCGTTCCCGTGGGAATTTTGCAATATCCTGTTGTAACTAAACTTTAAGTTTACTAAGGTACTTGCATGCCAAATTTCAAGCGTCTAACTTAAGCGGTTTAGATTTTTCATACAAAAGGATTTTCCCGCTAATCCCGGTCCCGTGGGAATTCCTAAGTATACTATAACCTGCCCAGGAGTACGAAGAATAATTATACCAAGTTTCGTTAAAATCCGTCGAGTAGTTTTTGTTTCTATAAGGAACATACAGACAGACAGACAGACAAAAATTTTACTGATTGCATTTTTGGCATCAGTATCGATCACTAATCACCCCCTGATAGTTATTTTGAAAATATATTTCATGTACAGAATTGACCTCTCTACAGATTTATTATAAGTATAGATAAGAAGATTTTAAAACAATTGCCACTAAAATATTTATAAGAATAGTTGATGATCGCACGTGAAATTAATACCGCTTCTCAATCCGTGCCAGCTGGTTTGATACATCCATACTGTCTATATGCGAATTTAATAGTAACTCATCTGGCCGCTAATGAAGATGTACAGTGCACCCAATTAGTTAATACCGATGCTTGTTTGTCGGCTCGTTAGTTACTGGGCGGGAATGAATACCACCTGCTAGATGTTGAAGGTTTGGAAATCTGTAATGACATATTTTGAAGCTCTATCTGTTAGGCTTGAGTTTAGAGTATCACTGAAGGTCTGGTTAATGATTACAATTAATAAAAAGACGGGTTCAAATCAATATGACACTTATCCTCCATTATGAACAAAATATTAATATTGTATATTCTTTAGCTTATAACAATCACTTTTGTTCTGATTCTGAAGGATGTCCTGAACCATATTTTTGTTCAGTAAGAAATACGTTGGTTTCGAATTCGTTTTGACATTAACGTCAAAACTAATAAAAAGTGGTTTTCCTCACAGATAGCCTTGAGTAACAATGTTATTATAACATTGTGTCACAATAGAACGACCGTGCCAAAGATTTCTCTATTTCTATTCTAAAAAGTAAAATCATTCGTCTATATCCATCAATTTGACTGTCGTTCTCTAATCCCGAAGCTGCCGTGCGTCCCGTACGTCATCTCACGGCGCGGGCGGCGCGCGCATTGACGTCACAAAACAAAAGCGCAGTATTTATAGATCCGCTGTACACATCCATCAAAAATGAGGCGTTTATTACATCCACATAAAGTCTATATTCCACCGCCCACCACCTCAGATACTGACACTGAAACGAAATATAGAGCAGGTGGGTACATAAACTGTGGGCATGTTATGACATTTTGACAGAGAGTGGTTTTTAGTGCAGTTTTCTCTTTTACAGATTCGATTGTTCATAGGAGAGTTTCGGATCACACCGGGAAGTGTCGTTTGACTCGTGCGCATTTGTCTTTGGGTATTTTAAAATGTCACAACTTCCCGTCGAGGTTTGGTTAAAAATACACACGTAAAATATATGTGTGTGTCGATAAATTTATGTTTACTCTTGACTTTTTTATTACACTTTTGATTTTGAATATTATTTATTTTCATTTTACTAGGTTTGAATTTCAATTATTAATGTTTTAGGGAATGTATTCCCATCCATGGCCAATGTAATCATGTAAACAAGTAGGTACGTGTGTGCTAAGTAAATACGTGTGATATAACCCAGAATCAGTTCAGATACGTTCTGAATAGTACCCGAACCGCAGAACTACTAAAATATGAAGAATATACCATGAATATCAATATTCTTGCACTAGATGATTCCGGACGCTCGTAAATAAGTCGTAAACTGGTCGAAACAAATACAAATCGAAGCGGAATGGTTTACTATGAAGTAGAAATATTTCACGACCATATTCCTGGGACCACTGAATCATGTGAGCGAAAATAGTAGCCATCGCCAACCTTGTAGCGCGACATGCTTTTAACATTGTAAAGTAAGATGCACTAAAATGTAGGGTAAGGCGTTTTCAAATCAGGCAGATTGAACATCAGCGGTTATGATGCGCATGAGTTGAGATACTGAATATGTAACTCAGAAGTTACACAGCATCATGTAAATCAGTTGTAGGATTTATCGATCTGAAGAACCTCATCCATGTTGTAAATTTTTCAAGAATGAGTTGCGCCGAATGCGAAACTATAAGAATTCGATTAGACCAAACTAAAACTGTTGCACACACTAAAACAATTCTGTCTTGTTAACCATCTTTGAGCCCTGGTCAGAATACATATTTTTTACAAAGTGTTCATTATTCATTTCGTGCTTTTTGAATATCCTCAAGAAAAGGTCATAGAAAGGTATCATTGGATATTACAAACCATGAGCTTTTGTTTAAAACTTTTTGTTAAGTTATACTGGATTCATATAATTTATGACAGATCTGTTGGTTTGTGCGGTATTTCATACCTATGAATATGAATACAACCTTGTAATATTGCAAAAAAGTGAGAGTGTTAGCCAAAAAGCTATCCCTTCGTCGAGTTTCACCGACCTTGCGCTCGCAAATAACCGCACTCGTGTCACTCACGCATATGAATCATGCGCTGTGACTACTTTAGTGCTTATTTGTTGGAAACGTAAACACTAATACTTGCGTTTGGTAAAAGCGTCCAAAATACGATAGTGACTCGGTGTTGCAAGTTGACATAGTGCGCTAATTAACTCTTAGGATGCGTTGAGTTGAAATGTGGGCCATTCTAAGCAGAAGTACCAAGCAAAAAAGTAGAAGGAGGTGCCATCAAGTCATATGCACTGTAGAAGAAAACACGATAGATAATATTTACTTCACATGAAACTTGATAATCAGATGTGCAGCTGCTAACAATGTAAGCATCTTAAATTGCAACAATTTAGACACGCGATGGCAGCAATTATTTATCTTAGATAATAAATGCTTGAGTTACCCTGTGTAAACCTTAAACCATAAATTAAATATAAATATAACCATAACCATAAATTGCTTGCGAATGCACTGGACGGCATTCGCAAGCAATTTATGTTTCCTTCTCAGCTTTGGTCTTTTGATCCTTTGAAAATAAGGAGACAATACCGTCAATTTATTTGCAAATGCTGTCATTCCATCCGTAGTTACATAAATTGCATTGAAAAAAAGTATTATATCTTGATTTAGAAAAAAAGCACCTTGTTTTTTCAATCGTACCGGTCAACCTTCCTTAACTATTCGTCATGTATTTCGTGCCATTTTTTATTCAACAATAACATAAACAATCAAGTCGGGATCTTATTAAGGACCAAAACTGAATACACTTTTCTGTGCTA